CACAAAATTATGATGATTAGTCAACTAACTAAACTTGCAATTTAACCCAATATCAGAACTTTTTGCTTATAGATTTATATTTTTTCAATTTAGTCGTTTACTACAAATTAACTTTTATCGCATTTAGCATTATAAGAAAACCCCTATCATTATACATTTTGTTTTTTATACACTAAATGCATAAAAGTGGTTTGAGCCAATTTTTATGGATTCGATCCTTATTACCGCTACTATAATTCATTTTTATATTGCATAGTTTTTAGTATTTTATTTATTTATTTTTTTAATTTAGTGGTCTCGTCAACCACCAGATTGCAAAGCCCGATATATCATGATGTTTTCTAAAATGTCATCACAAATATTTTCAATATTTTCAATTTGAACATTTAATTCATCTCAAGTGCCTGAATCATACTAGTCTCACACCCAACCCCTTTGCATGGATGCACATGACCATGAATTAGAAAACTTGTAAATGTCTTTAAAACATAAAAACATTTAGAAGATCTGATCATGTTTCTAAACTCTTTCTATATAAAAAATAATTGAATGAAAGCATAAACATGTACACACAGTATTCCAAGTACAACATAGCATAGAGCATATAATGCAATGTCATATAGTGAACATGTGTTAGTAATTATATGTACTAACCTTGATCGTATAGGTTATCATCCCAAAATCTCTATAACACCTAATTCCTGGTGCACATTTAATTATAATTTATTTATTTTTATAGAGCTACTCGACGAGTTGGGAGCCCCAAACTCGTCGAGTAGAAATGAGATTGGCCGCGAGGTTTTAAGCAATCTACTCGACGAGTTGAGAGCCCTCAACTCAACGAGTAGGTCTGCTAGAGTGAAACCTAAAATTTGGGGTTTTGCACCCTATTTAAGCATCTTAATCCCCACTTTATGGCCTCATTTCCAGCCTCTAAGTCCCAAACCCTAATCCACGAAACCCTAGAGCATTGTTTGAGTTTGTGAGCCATTTTGAGTGAACTTTGTGTGATTTGAAGCTTGTAGAGGAAGGAGAAGAAAGAGGCCTCCAAGAGAAGATTGTAGATTCAGAAGCAACATCTTATCCTCTTCATTTTCTGGTAATCAAGCCTCTAACTTGTCTAGTAGTTTCTTAGATCTTCTTATTTTCACTTTATTGGGTTTTTGGGTCCAAGAAGCTTGACCCTTGGGATTTGGACGTACCAAGCAAGGATCCCTTCAGATATGGAATTATTAAGGGTTATTATGGCATAAAGGTGCAAACTTTATGCCATTTGAGCCCCCATGCAAGCTCTAAGGTGTTATTTTGGCCTTATAAGCCCAAAAGGTCATTCATGGAAGGAAATTTAGGAGCTTTACGTGTTCATTTGGTGTCTAGGACCTATATCTCGGTTTTCATGCTTTGGTTTGGAGTATTATTGCTTTTGGACAAAGATCTATGTCCTAAATAACTAGGGTTTGAGCTAAACCCATTAATCAGGACTATTAACGGGTAAAGTGGGAAACTTTACCCTTAAAACGAAACTTTAAGTATGTAGAAAAAGTATGGAGTTTGGATATGGAGAGTAGAGGCTTAATATGTTAAGATGGCCCAAATAGACAGATGAACTCGTCGAGTCGATAGAGGGACTCAATGAGTTGAGTCGTATTGTACTGATTTTGTACCAGATAGAACTTGACGAGTTGGGGGATGAGTCGGTGAGTTGGATCGCACTTTCAGGATTTTTAAGTTATAGAACTCGACGAGTTGATTGGTCAACTCGGCGAGTTGGGTCAACCAAAAATGTTGACCATGACCAGGGGTAAAATGGTCATTTTACCCTTAGAAGGATTCTCAAATTTTAACTAAGTGATTATTGTGATGTTGATAGTCGGGGAGCCGTTGGAGCAACCGTCAGAGATTCCTCACACAAGATTTCAGTAACCAGCTTGGGAGGTGAGTTTTCCTCCGGTAGGAATGGGTCGAAGGCACTAATGTCGGCCAATTTATGTATGTTAGCGTATGCTGGAGTTAGGTCCGATGCTAGGGTTAGCCCGATGTGGATTATATGTTTTCGGACTTCGGTCCGATGCTGGGGAAATCCCTAGGAATGTATGTATGCTTGATATCTTCGTGATTCTTACATGTGTATGTTTATATGTTCCGGGCTTTGGCATGATGTCGGGGCAAGCCCGATGAATGTTTAGCTTATATGTTATGTGTTATGTATTCCGGGATTCGGTTCGATATCGGGGCAAGCTCGAGGAAGATTTAGATTATATGTTATGTTAGGTGTTTATTTTATATGCTTGATGATATGTTATATGTATACCAGACTTCGGTCTATGCTGTGTGAGGCCCGATGCCGGACTTTGGTCCGATACCTGGCGGGGCCCGATGTCGGATTCGTCCGATGCCTGGCGGGGACCGATGTAGTGGGCATGGCCCAATTAATGCTATTATGTGATTATGTGTATGGTATGTGGTAGTTTGGGGAGACTCACTAAGCATTGTGCTTACAGTTTTCGGTTTTGGTTTCAGGTACTTTCGCTAGCAAGGGGAAGAGCTCGGGATGACTGCATGATACATACCATAACTTTTAGCTTGGGATATTTCACAATGATTTATTTGACATGTGATTGATATGGATACACTGTTTTGACATTTGAGATATTATGGTTTATGTTTCAATTAATGATTTTTAGTAATTCTGTTTAATTAATGATTTAAAAATGAAAATTTTGGATTATAGTTTTGGGATGTTACAATCTCCTTTAAATGGACGGTGTAATACATGTTTTCCATCAAATGTATTATTACAAAAGATGTAACTTGTTAACACGACAAATAAAAGGAATAAAACATGACCCTTGCTTGAGTGTATGTGTAAAAGGGTGTACTGTTGTCGTATCATGAAGAGAAGGTTGTTGAGCCTTTAAATATGAGTTATGAAGAACTACACGACGGGTAGAGCCCATTAGACGTAACTCAGTGTTGTAGGTTGCTATTCTGGAAAATGGTAACCTATATTGTTAAGATGGTGTTAGAACATGATATGTAGGAAAGTATGTTGTTAAAACCAATATAGAAGATGACACATATGTTGTAAGAACACGATGTGTTTAAAGCCAACGTGATGCGTACAAGTGATGTACATACGTGTAGTCGTCGACCATAGAAAACAAATTAAATGTGAAAAGTCGGCCGTTTGCTTAAATCTTACACACATACACGAAATGGAGAGTAGGAAGAGGCGATTTAAAGGCTTAGTTCAGAGATGCATGCCAACCACATTTTCGCATATGTTGGTGTGCAAAATTTATGTCAATTTTGGTCATTTTTTATTTTGTGCCTATTTTTTTGGTAAACTTTGAAAAAAAATATTATAGTATTTTTATTAACATTGTATATAGAAATTCTTTACTTATTCTTTCAAATATGTTTACGTAAATATAAAATTAAATTAAATTTGAAAAAAAAGGATGTGCTCTTGACATACATTGAATAGTAAGAATGCTTGTTAGTTTTGTATTAAGTTTTTAAAAATATACATAAATATCAAAAAATTTAATTTTAGTGCAACAATTTTAGTCATCCCATAGGGTGGGATAGAACCAAGTTGCTTTCAAAGTTGGAAGACATCTTATAGACTATGTTACAAGTAGATTGTCTGTTTCAGCCCCAATAACGATACAAGATTGGGACAGTCGCCTAATTTGCCTCTTTTTAGGTATGACCTGAGTGAGTGTGTGGTGAGGTGGACATCAATGTAAACATGTGGGTGTGGGTGTGACGGTAGGTGTGGGTTTGGGATGGGGTGGGTGTGGGTGTGGGTGTGGGCGTGAACATCAGTGTAAGAGCGAGGACGTGTAAGGTAAGTATAGACATAAGGGTGAGTGTGGCGTGGACGAGAAACAATAGTAATTTCTTTTGAGTTAATAAATCATAACTAAAATAAAAAGAAGCTTATTAATTGATTTTTTTAATAAACATAATATTTAATGGATTTGTGTCTTAGCCAACCTTTTAAAAAACAACATATACAATATAATATAGGGATATGTTATTAATACCTCCTTTTTATCTTACCACCCATTTAATTATTACAAATTTGGTACAAATTTATATTTTTAAAATTTATAACAACTTTTTCAGAATTTTAACCAATAAACACAAAATATTTTCTTTTAACACATTGAGTTTCGAAGTTGTTTTAATCAGATTTCCAACTAGAAGAATAAAGCCACATCCAACCACCAACAACCATTGTAAGCCACTACCACCTGCCATCGGTGAGAGAGAGAGAGAGAGAGAGAGAGAGAGAGAGAGAGAGAGAGAGAGAGATGTCACCATTATCCAACGTCGGTCCACCTATTTCGCCGGAGAAGAATGAAATCGTCGTAATTGAGCAAGCATGAGAAAGAAATACTCGTTGGAGCGTTGTACAGATGGGTAAAACGTCGTCGGAAATATGAAAACGTCCCTTGAAACCATGTGAATCGTTGGAGTGTGAGAAAGAGATAGTCGTAATCTAAAAACCTTACCGGAAAGCGCATGACACCTTGCCGAAATCGCTTGAAACACTGCAGGAAATCGCGTGGGCAGTGGCCAGAAATCGTGTGAATAGGGGACGAAAATCACCTCTCTCCCGTCTTGGTGGCTAGGGCTTAAGAGATAGTATCCTTTTTTATACTTAGAACTATACTATAACAACCTATCAGTTTTAAAAATATTTCATTTTATACCCCCTGACTTAAGATTTTTTATAATTTTTGTGTATGTATATTTATTTAAAAAACATCAATCTAATTATTAAAAAAATATTTAATATCATTTATGTATTTTCTTTTAATAAAAACACCAGTTTTTATAATAGTTTTAAAAATTGAAAATATTTATTTATTGTAAATACATAAATATTTTTTAATTTATTAACTTATTTGGTATCGTTTTTGTAAATAGATTTATAGATATTAATTATTTATATTGTAGATAGATTATAAATAGGGGTTGGTTACCAAATGCCTTCTAGCGGTTCCCTCATTGAGATTGAAGGTTCAAACATCATTGAAGATATAAATGAAATTATGAGTAGTTTAAGAGTAAAGTACATTTGTTGTTTTAAAAAATAAATAAGGGTAAAAAAACATTCAATTTTATCATATTAACATCCTAATTAAATTTTAAAATATTTTTATCGGTTGAAATTGTATTTGTTTTTCGAAATAACTTATTATATATTTATTATATATATAGTTAATTAATTATATATTAATATTTTATAAAGGTGTTAGTATATATAAATCTTTAAACACAAATTCAATGGCTGATCCGGTGCTAATGCCTTTAAACACAAAATTTAATGCAATTTAAAGGAATTTGATTTCCTTTAATTTTGTTTACCAAACGTTTTACTAAAAATTAAAATTCTTTAACCTTAACTTCGTCAAAGGTCAACAACAATATGGAAAGTCTACGAAAAACCTCAATCCTTTCGAAAATCAAAATCATCGTCCGTTACGATTTTCATCAACCAGTTGGTGGGCGGAGTTCCCACAAACACTTGTTAACTTAGTTTTTTTCTCACTGAAAACCCAATGTTTTCTTCAGCTGTATTCCCTTCTTTCTTTCTCTATATCTATCCACCATAACTATTCATGATTCACAGAATTCACACCAGCAAAAACGTCAGAAACAAGAAGATTCGGGAAGAATGGCGAGCATTGCTACCACTTGTTCTTCCGGTTTGATTTTGAGGAGAAAAGAATCAACCACCAATGCAGGTTCGATGCTTCAGTTCAATGGCCTTAGAGCCATTGAATCTAACCAGATTGCTGCTTCATCTGGATTCAACCCTAGTTGGTCTGCATCTACTTCAGGTGTGATCCTCTTATAAAACTCCCCATTTCATATACAACTTTTCGCTAAATTAGTAAATTACAACTTGTTATTTTGACTTTCGATTGAACATATTCGCAGCGTCGAAATCTAGACCAATCAAGGCTATGGCTTCGGCTCCCAAACGAGAAACAGACCCGAAGAAAAGGGTTGTCATCACCGGAATGGGAGTTGTCTCCGTTTTCGGCAACGATGTCGACACATTCTACGACAAACTCCTAGAGGGTCAGAGCGGAATCACTATAATAGACAGATTCGATTCTTCCACTTTCACCACTCGTTTCGCTGGTCAGATTCGTGATTTCTCTTCCGTCGGCTACATCGACGGGAAAAACGACCGTCGTCTTGATGACTGCTGGAGGTATTGTTTGGTCGCCGGCAAAAAGGCGCTCGAAGACGCCAACCTCGGCCCAGAGATCCTAAAATCCGTGAGTCTTTCCAACAAATTCTCAATCTTTCCTCATCCACATAAGCGAATAACACAAAAATCTGATCTTTTTACTGTTTATTATAGATGGACAAAACGAAAATCGGAGTTCTGGTCGGGTCCGGCATGGGAGGTTTATCGGCGTTTAGCACTGGAGTCGAATCGCTTATTCAAAAAGGATTCAAGAAAATCTCTCCGTTTTTCATTCCATACTCCATCACTAACATGGGATCGGCTTTATTAGCTATCGACACCGGTTTAATGGGCCCAAATTACTCGATTTCTACAGCTTGTGCGACTGCAAACTATTGCTTTTTTTCAGCTGCAAATCACATTCGAAGAGGAGACGCCGATATTATGGTTGCAGGTGGAACCGAAGCTGCTATCAATGCTACTGGTGTTGGTGGGTTCATCGCTTGTAGGGCTCTTTCCCAAAGAAACGACGAACCCCATCGGGCTTCTAGACCTTGGGATCAAAATCGCGATGGTTTTGTCATCGGTGAAGGTTCAGGCGTCCTGGTAATTTACAAATTACAACTCTTTAATATATGAAATTAAACTTGGGCTTGGGCCACTGTTGTTAGGGTCCAAATTGGTAATATATGTCAGGATTGGGCCTGGGCCCGTTTAGAAGTTGGACTTTTTGAAAGTCACATGGGTAGTAACATATTGATTATTGATAGATTATGGAAAGCTTGGAGCATGCAACAAAGCGTGGAGCTAATATACTCGGGGAGTATTTAGGAGGAGGTATAACTTGTGATGCTCATCACATGACTGATCCTCGCAAAGATGGGCTTGGAGTTTCGTCTTGCATAACCAAGTGTTTAGAAGACTCTGGTGTTTCACCCGAAGAGGTAATATATTATACAGGATAGAACAGGTTGTACTGTGTTTGACATACAGTACTAGTTTCACGGTTAATGTCAATTAATATCCAAAAAGGTGGAACAAAGAACAACATGAACTTCTCTCAATCTCTCAGTTGTGCAAAAAACATGAATATCCTTATCATCGTAACCTGTTGTTACATTACACGGGGCTTCTAACATAATAATAATAGTTGATCTTCACACACTTGTAGGTGAACTATGTGAATTGTCATGCAACATCGACCCTAGCCGGGGATTTAGCCGAGGTTAATGCAATCAAGAAGGTCTTTAAGGATACATCTGAGATCAAGATGAATGGAACCAAGGCAAGAAACGTTAAAAGTTAAAACTCATTTGAATAATCGTTTTTTTTTTGGACATTTAAATTGTTTATTAGAGGCTAACATGGAAAATACTTTTGTTTTAGTCGATGATTGGACATGGTCTTGGAGCTGCAGGTGGATTGGAAGCCATTGCATGCATAAAAGCAATCAACACCGGGTGGCTACACCCTACGATTAACCAAGATGTAAAAATGGCTAAAACCCTAAAACCCTTTTGCTACATTAATTGGCTCTTTATGTATTCAGTCATGTTTTAATCTTTTTCTTTTGTGTATGCAGAATTTGGAGCCACTGGTTGACATCGATACAGTCCCAAATGTGAAGAAACAACATGAAGTCAACGTTGGTATGAGTCAAATATAATGAAAGTTACATTATATTAAATAGTTCGTATATCTATTGATTTTGATGATTTCTTGTGTTGATGCAGCCATTTCTAACTCATTTGGGTTTGGTGGGCATAATTCGGTGGTTGCATTTGCTCCTTTCAAACCGTGAACCTTTTTCAACTACATGTTCCCATTTCTGCACACAAAAAATTCGTTTTTGGGACCCGATAAACAGTTGAGCATATTTGAGCGAATTACGTATGTGTGATGATCATTCCAAGAAGAGTTTTTGATGTAACACTATTTTCCTGATACATGTATTCGAGGTGATTAAAAAGATCGGTGATTAATAAAATATTCATCATGTTTTGCAAAAATTTCTCTCATACTTTTATATATATGATTGTTATTGTTAAAAATAGAATTGCTACACCAACAGTTATTCTTTTGCAAAAAAAAAAAAAAAAAAAAAAAAAAAAAAAAAAAAAAAACAAACAGTTTCGGTTGATACATTCTAGCTAGTATGATATCAACTCATAATAATTAGCTTCATAAGCATGCAAAAAAACTATAAAATCCATAGAGGGGTTATTATCAAAGTTAGTTCGGTAAAACTAGCCATTAATTGGAAGTTGTTGTTGTAGTTTTTAATTATGCAATAATGTTCGCTAAAAGTATTTGTTAGCTTTTAAAGGTATAAAATTAAATGAAAATTACAATCTAAAAGCTACCAAAAGCTATAAGCTCTAACTAGAGTTTTTTATGAGCTTTTTATTAAAGGGATAATGACTTAAAAGGGTAATATATTTTTAGATTTGTACATATTTGATCACTAAGTTTTTTTTTCATCTACATTTACCCCTTCAACTTGTTAAACTGTACACATTCAATATTTATGACCGGTTACTCCAGGTTAACCGGGAAAAATGATATAATAGGGTAATATATTTTTCATTTTGTATACATTTAGTTCTTAATATTTTTGTACACATTTAGACCTTAATATTTTTTTGTTTCAGAATAAGTCATTTTTGTTTTTGTACACATTCAGTACTTATTAATGTTTTCTTTAGGTTTTCTCACGACATCTTACGTGAGATAATCATTGATGAAGTGTGTGAGACTGTTGATGTTTATATGGAATGTCTCATTTTCACAACAAAAAAATTTCATTTTTAAATAAGGCAAAACTTCCTAATTATAAATCTATTATTAAGAAAAAAAATTTATTCCAAAATACATTTATCGAAAATCAGAGTAATATAAGAAAATATGTAATGCTCAATAATGCAGATGAGTGTGTATAATCATGCATTCGCCTTCCCATGGCCAACGATAGAACCTGAAAACATAAATAACTGGGTAAGCACAAAGTTTAGTGAATTTCTCCCAAAATACCCAACACAAGAAACGTATTATAATGCATAACGGACCCACACTCATTAGATTGGTATACATTGGCCCAATTAGTCATCAGACTGGAATGCCAACATGCAACAGGTCCAATCAGTCATCGAACTGGAATACTTAGGGTTTGTTGGCATGACGCCTTAATCCAACCGCTCTTCTCGAGTCTTCGTGCCTACAGCCTATAGCCGGCCCGCACCAGGTATCTTGGCCTACAACATATAGCAGGACCACCTGAAAAGTATCCTAACACCATATGACTATCACACATAAGATGTCGTGAAAAAAACCTAAATAAACCATTCATAAGTACTGGATGAATAAAAAAATAAAAATGACTTATTTTGCAATAAAAAAAATATTAAGGACTAAATGTGTACAAAAATATTAAGGACTAAATGTGTACAAAGTGAGAAATATATTACCCTATTAAGTCATTTTTACCGGCTAACCTGGAGTAGCCGGTCATAAGGACTAAATGTATACAGTTTAACAAATTGAAGGGTAAATGTGGACGAAAAAAAAACTCAGTGACTAAATGTTGTATAAATTGAAAAATATATTACCCTTTTAAGTCATTATCCCTTTATTAAAAACTAAAAGTTTTCAAAAGATCACTACAAAACACACACTAAACATCCATTATAATTCCAAATTTGATTTTTAATAGGTTTGTTTACGGTTTTACGATACATGCAAACATCCATTAAAAAGTTATTAGTACAACATCAAGAATTAGAATGACAATTAGATATTATTTTCAAATTAAATGATATCTTGAGAATTTTACGTTTGCTCTCAATGATATATATATATATATATATATATATATATATATATATATATATATATATATATATATATATATATATATATACCGGTCATAAGGGTAAAATGTGAACAGATTCAATAGTTCAATGGCAAATAGATAACGAAAAAAAGTTTAGTGACTAAATGTGAACAAAATCGAAAGTTCGTTTCCCTCTAAAAAGTTCAATGACTAAATGTAAACAAACTTCCTATTGTATTATGTTTTAGCAAAATTATTTATTTTTGTTTGATTGTAGCAACATTTGTTGATGAAGAAATCTATGAAGTAAAAAAACAAAATGTAACATCCGGATTTCCAGGTATCATAATTTAAGTATTTTTCTTTTGAGTTAAGAAGAGAGACTCGACGAGTTGACGCCTCAACTCGTCGAGTAAGGTCGCGACTGATGACTCAGATTAATGAATGGACTCGACGAGTCGGTGAGGCGACTCGACGAGTCCACGTTGTTGGCAGAAACCCTAAATCTTTTGCCCCAAGCCATATTTAAAGGCACTTATGGCCTTCAATTGCGACTACCTTTCCCATAAGTGAGAATCCTAGCGAGCTTGAGTGTGTAGAGTGAGAGGAAGAGCTATCTTGAGCTTTTTGGTGTGATAGATCTGGACCCTTCTAGGTTTAGAGAGCCGAGAATATGAAGCTTTAGTAGAGTAAACCTTGGGGTTCGAAGTTAGGAAGCATAACCTTAACTAACAATCTGATGAAATAAAATGATGAGAGATAGGTGATGATAGAAAGGTGATGATAATTAGGTAAATAAATGATGATGAATATGTGATGTAGAATGAAAGATGATACCATAACATTAACCAGCAATGTGGCGAGGTAGTAATCTACCAGAGTATAGATGGTGACCACGAACTATTCTAGACAATCCAGTGGAAACACTAGCATGCCCATAACCTGTAGGTGATGAATTACAATTTCAGGCGATGTTGTAACTACGTATTCATGCGATGATACTCTAACCCCTTACTATGAATTACGAGTTCAGACGATGTTGTAACTAAATATTCATGGGATGTCACAAATTTTGCATGCCAAACCAATGGTCAGAATTCACATCAGTGAGAATGGTTCATTTTTTTGTAAAACCAAAATCAGATTGGAAATTTTGATTTTTTATTTTGGAAAATGTCAAACTATTGGTTTTTTATTTCGGTTTTGGTTTTTTGTTTTTTTTTTAAATATATTTTCATGGTTTTTTTTTTTTTTTTTTTTTTAATTTTTTTATTTAATAGATTTCTTCATCAACAAATGTTGCTACAATTTAACAAAATAAATAATTTGGTAAAACATAATACAAGAGGAAGTTTGTTCACATTTAATCATTGAACTTTTTAGAGGGAAACGAAATTTCGATTTTGTTCATATTTAATCACTAAACTTTTTTTCGTTATCTATTTGCCATTGAACTATTGAAACTGTTCACATTTTACCCCTATGACCGGCAACATCCGGTCATAAGGGTAAAATGTGAACAGTTTCAATAGTTCAATGGCAAATAGATAACAAAAAAAAATTTAGTGACTAAATGTGACATAACTCGAAAGTTCGTTACCCTTTCAAGTCATTATCCCTATATATATATATATATATATATATATATATATATATATATATATATATATATATATATATATATATATATATATATATATATATATAACGTTAGTTTCATATGAGACAGTCTAATTTTGTGAGACCGTGAGACTCAATCTTAACCACTCATTTAGTAGATAAAAGAAAATATTTTTAAAATGCAAAATAATTGAAAATTTTCGAATTTTTTTTTTCAAATATTATTTTCGGAATTTATATTTTCCAAAAAAAAAGTAAAAAATACCAAAAAAAATAAATAAATAAAAAATATATATTTTTTACATATTCTAGTAAAATATTAGAATATTCTATATATTGGACAAATCTAGAAGAATATTCTAACATTCTAAAAATTATATTAGAATATTTACAGTGTAATATATTGTATTAGAATATTTCACGTATTTAAAAAAAAGGTAGTTATTATTATTATTATTTTATTTTTTGGTAATTAAAGTTCTGATAATAATAATTAAAAAAAGAATTTTGGGATTTTTCCTTTTATTTTGCATTTTAAAATTATTTTTAGATTTCATCTCATGGTCTAAAGAAATTAGCATGGTATCAAATGAACCTGAATATATATATATATATATATATATATATATATATATATATATATATATATATATATATACACACACACACACACATATATATGGTGATTTATTATAGTAACATTTATATCTTGCTCATTTTAGTTTAAATTTCAGCATCGTCATGAATATCACTCATGTCATTTACAATAGGCAAATATTATACGAATTACATTAACATGTAACTCTTAGATCTTATATGTCATTTCAATTATTTATCATCAAGGTATGTTTTTAGCCGATCCATGTGTTGATGATTTTAGTGTTATCAATACATGCTGAATATTTACTAACCGAGCTTGGAGGTGCGGGGGTGCATACTTGGTGTGATAATTGTGAACTCGGGAATACAGGGGTCCGGGGGCAGTGCCCCTGTATGCAGGGTTCCAAGGGGCTGCAACCCTATGACAGGGTCTAGGGGCAACGCCCCTAACAGTGGTTCCTGTTGGTGATTTTGTATCATCAATGTGTATTTAAGTGTAATGGATTGACTTGTTGACAAGAAATCAATGTTGATGAGTATTAAACAAGTAAGGAAAGTGCGGAGTGCACACTTGTTTAAGTTCATTCAATATTCAAAGTAGACTGTCATTTAGGGGCGAAGCCCTTAAACGAACGAGTGTCTGGGGGTAACTCCCCTGGGAGCGGGGTCCAAGGGGCAAAGCCCCTGGCTAGGGTCGAGATGTTTTGAAAATGAACCCGGTGTTGACTTTATTTTGACCCTTATTAGTTTTAGTGATAGTTTATGACTGTTATAAACTGTTTTGACAGTTTGAGTAGTTTTTGGACAAAGAAAACTGCCTTGACCGTTTTTAGACAAAGGATGTACTAAATCATTTTGGTCATAATTTTCTTGGTACAATAACAATCACAAAAATCATAACTTAATATTCTCTGTTTTTGAAAGTCTT